AGGGGGGGGGGGGGAGGTGGTGTAAGTGCCCTCCCAGGGAGGTTCAGTCTGTCCCGGCCATGCTACAGATAGCCCACGGTGGCCAGGATTGCAGTGGGAGTTGCTCCTGGGAGTGAGGCGCAGGGCAGTGGCGGGGAACAAACACTCCCAGCCACCTGGGCACCCCAGTGACCCTCGGTTTTGTGTGTCTTCTCTGCAGGTGGTGAAGGCCATCAATAGGGTACTGCTCTGCAAGAGTCGTCCGCCTCAGTGACCTGGACATGGTCATCCAGGGGTTTGGCACCCTGGGCTTCACCAACTGCAGGGGGCAATTGACGGAACGCACATCCCCATCCATGCCCCAGAACACCAGGCCTCCCTCTTCATCAACAGGAAGGAATACTTCTCTGTGGTCCTGCAGGCTGTGTCTGACCATTGGGGCCAGTTCACGGACATCAATGTGGGCTGGTCCGGCAAGGCACATGACACGCGGGTGTACTGCAACTCTTCCGTGTGAGCCTCCTCACCCGCCTCGACCTCGCCCAGCACAATATTCCGCACATGGTGGCAGCGTGCTGTGTGCTCCACAATTTATGCAAGAGGAAGGGGGAAGCTTTCCTGTCAGCCTGGATGCCAGAGGCTGCCCCCCTGGCTGGCCAGTACGCACAGCCCCGCATGGCTGCCAGCCGGGAGGCCCTTAGGAGGGCTGTCCGCATCCAGAAAGCCCTGCGGGAGAGCTCTTGCAAAGTTACACTACTTTGTAGTGTAGACATACCCTAACTCTTTCTTTAAACCGTGTTAAAGTTCTAATCTTCACCACATTTTCTGGCAAGGAGTTCCACAGGTTGAGTGAGCGCTGAGGGAAGAACTTCCTTTTGTTTATTTTGAATCTGTTGCCTATTGAACTGGGGTGGAGAGAGGGGGGACTAAGAGTGAAAGAGGGGAGGGGGGAACCTGGGAGGAGGGAGCTGGAAGGGGGAGGTGAGGGGAGGAAGAGGGAGGGGAAGCTCAGGGTTGGGGGTCTTGCCAGCCCTCCTGTCTTGCAGAACTGCGGGTGCGGGGGCCTCGGCGGAAGCTCAGGGTTAGGGGTACTGCTGGCTCTCCCGTCTCGCAGCACTGTGGGTGCGGGGGCGTCGGAGGAGAGTGGGTGTGGAGGGTGGGGCAGGAGGGATGGGGTGTGCGGAGGAAGCGGGAGGGTGAGTAAGGGTGGGGGAGGAGCGATATCTGGGGTGGCCGCAGGGGGTGGAGCAGCAGGAGGCAGCAATTGGTCTGCCAGGGCCTGCAGGTGCTCGCGGAGGGCACGGCCCTGCTCCAGCAAGTTCTCCTGCAGCAGCTGCAGGTCTTCTTGCACCCACTGCTCCTGGCTGTGGACCTGCCATCCCTGCAACCACAGGTGCTGCCTCTGGGACGCTGACCCGGGTGCAGGTGGCTCTTCCAGGCGGGATGGTGTACCCTGCACTCACAGGTGCTGCGGCTGTGGTGAAACAAGAGCAATGGTCAGTTCTCCCTGGGGACACAGTGGGTGAAACCCAGCCCTCCTCTGCAAAGTGAGGACGGCAGGTCTCTGCACCTGCTATCCCCGGGAGTGTGAGCTGGCCTAGGACTGCACCCCAGCCCCTGTGCTGCCTATAGTGTGTGGGGGGTGGGAAGGGAGATGTGCCCTGCCTCTGTGTAGAGGGGGCATCTGGAGGGAGGGCAGTGTGCAGTGTCTCTCCCTGGGATCAGGAGCCTGTCATGTGCCTTGACGGGTAGACACGTGTGGGGAACAGGCCAGGATCCCTGCATGGCACCCAGCTGGGGCCACATGTCCTGGATGGCATGGCAGATGCACAGGTTGCCACCTGCTCCGTGGTTGTCAAGGCCGACATGCACAGTCCCTGGGCTCCCCCTTCTCCCCCTGCCCTGCATAAGGGGACCATGATGTCACTCACATGTGGAGGCCTCCCCGGCCTTGGATGAGGCTGCTGACGGGCTCTCCGGTTTGGCTTGGGGATCCTGGGTGCAGGGCACGCTCCCTGCAGGCTCCTGGCTGCCATCATCCTCCTGTTCCTCCTCTTCCCCTGTGTCAGGGGCAGGGCCTTCTGCCCTGGGGTCAATGACAACCAGGGGGGCACGAACTGTCTGACGCCCCACCGGATGTGGCCCAGGGCCTCAAAGTGCGGGCAGTCCTCCAGGTCAGTCCCTGGTTGGGAGGCCCTGGCATAGGCCTGCCGCAGTTCTTTAATTTTCCTGCGCACCTGCTCCTGGCTGTGCATATGGCCTCTGGTGGCCAAGCTGGCAGCCATGTGGCTGTAGACAGCCGCATTCCTGGCCTAGTGCGGAGATTGTGGTCATTGGAGGCCTCCCCTCAAACCTCAATGAGGTCCACGATCTCTGCAATAGACCACCAATAACGGCTGAGTGTAGACATACCCATAGAAAAATAACACAAAAGAGACCAGAAAGAGACCAATGGACCAAATACATCGACCCTTTTTAATTTGTATACGGTTGTTAACCAGCTAACACCTTATCAATTTGCCTAATTAAGAATGAGTAAAAACTGAATAGGGCATGACCCAACAATGATAAATATTAATGATACATTATTAATGAATTCTAATACATATTAATCATAATCATAAATTATGTCTGATGAGTTATTATGGACATTGAACAGTCAAAGCAATAATAAATAATGACAATAAGAACAGCCTTCTGTATAAGAGATCTTGTATAAGGTAAACAACAGGCTCACAGAGATGAACAATCAAAATAAATAAAATGGCAGATTGTTTCCAATGCTTAAATTATTCTGACTAGGTGAAGAATCTGGAGACACCACATACAAAAACAACTGAATTTGTAGATGTAACACTGAAAGTCACTCAATTTTTTTTTAAAGGCAAAAACACCTGCAAACCAATGAAATGGTTGGAGGAGAAAATCACTTGTAGTTAGCAGAAAGTATTCAAAAACCTGGGCTTCTTACCTGGGAGTATTGAAATTGTTTTTAAAGCTCTCAGAACTCTGAATGTACGAAGGACCGAAACATTGCCTAGATCACTAAACTCCCCTACATATCTGTAAAATCAAGACATGACAAAATATCCTATTGAATTGCATGAACAGTCAAAATATTTTATACAACTTTTCTTAATTGCTAGCCCTTCTGAGCATATAATATCTAGAGCCTTAACAAATCTAATGTCAAGGGCTCATCCTGAGTATTATTTATCAAGGATCCAGTTCCTGATTATTTCAAATAGCATATACTTACAAGTTAGTGCTTGGTTATGAATGGTGCCAACATCCTATAATACAATGAACTTATAATGAAACCAAAAACCCACATCAATTATTAAAATTATTATTAAAAATATTTTGGCCAGAGGAAGGAGAGAACATTTTTTTAATCAAATTCCCAAGTAATATTTCAAAGTATACTTCCTCCCCAGGCCACAATACATCTATCATTTCCCTTTCTATCACAGTCTCTCCCTGAAAAAAAATATCAATTCTCCCCACTATAAGTAAATTAAGTAATTCTAACCTATAGCAGTCTCTTCTATTTCCAGAGTGCAGATCAAACAGACTGATTCACAAAATGGCTCTGACACCTTCTAGTTCTCTCACACAAACACATAGGCTGTGTTTACACTGGCCACTTATTCCGGAAAATCAGCCGCTTTTCCGGAATAAGCTGCGAGCTGTCTACACTAGCCCTTGAATTTCCGGAAAAGCAATGACGCTCTACTGTAGAAAATCAGCCGCTATTCCGGAAAAACTATTCTGCTCCCGCTCGGGCATAAGTCCTTATTCCGGAACACTGTTCCGGAAAAGGGCCAGTGTAGACAGCCCAGTAGTCTTTTCCGGAAAAAAGCCCCGATCATGAAAATGGCGATCGGGGCTCTTTTCCGGAAAAGCGACGCTTTTCCGGAAAAAGGGCTTTTCCGGAAAAGTAGCCTGCCAATGTAGACGCTCCTTTTACGGAAAAATTGAAAATGGAATAGTATTCCGTTGTAAGCAGTTCCGGAAATTCATGCCAGTGTAGACACAGCCATGGAGTCTGTCTACACTGCGGGACTTAACTCAAAATAAGCTACACAAATTGAGCTACGTCAATTGCGTATCTTCTTTCGAAATAGCTTATTTTGAAATAGGGAGCATCCACACAGCACTTATTTTGAAATAGAGCACTCTTCATGCAACTTCCCTTATTTCTCACACAATGAGGCTACGTCTAGACTGGCCCCTAATTCCGGAAAAGTCATGCAAAGCAGGTAAGTCAGAATAGGGAAATCCGCGGGGGATTTAAATATCCCCCGTGGGATTTAAATAAACATGACCGCCGCTTTTTTTCCGGCTTGGGGAAAAGCCGGAAAAAAGCGTCTAGACTGGCGCGATCCTCCGGAATAAAGCCCTTTTCCGGAGGATCTCTTATTCCTACTTTCAAGGGGAACCGGCCACCGGGAAGCAGGGTTGGGGGCAGCAGGGCTGTCCTGCGGAGATTGGGGCTGGCGGGATGGTGGCTGGCGGAAGCAGGATTGGAGGTAGTGGCAGTGCCAGCTTGAGCCACTCTTCCGCCCTGGACAGCGGGCGCACAGTGCATGCGCAGGCCCCGCCTCCTGAGTGTGCAGCACCCCGTACAGCTATAATCAGGCACCACATGGCCCCCGCCCTGGGTGGCCCG